TTTTTGGGGGGGGGGGGGGGGGGGGGTGAATTTGGGGGATTTTGGGGGTTAGATTTTGGGGGGGGGGGGGGGGGGTAAAACCTGGGGTTGGTTTGGGGGGGTTTTTGGGGAGATTTTAAAAGGGGGGGGTTTGGGGGGGGGCGTTTTTTTTTTTTTGGGGGTTTTTTTTTGGAAACAAAGAGGGTTTTTTTTTTTTAGGAAAAAATATGTTTTTGTCCTGGGATTTAAAAAAAGAAAAAAAAGGAAGGAGGCCGGGGGGGTTTTGGGGGGTTTGGGGAAATTTGTTTTCCTTTTGCCAATTTTTTTTGGGTTTTTGGTCCCGGGGGGGTGGGTTTTTCGAAAAAAAAAGGGGTTTCAGAAAATTCCCCCCCCCCCCCCCCCCCATGCGTTTGGATCGATGGATAGATCGGTGTGACGCTGTTGAGCAAGTTCGGGAAGGACAACCTGGAAAGTTAAAGTTTCACTACAGTAGTTATTGTAGTTCTTTCTTGTTTTGTTTTGGGATCTTGTCAGGCTTGCTCAACAGCGCGGGAGTCACACAGCGAGTGCTCCAACCGGCCAGGTGGGGTCCGTCGTGGGTAAAGAGACGAAAAGATCGCCCGTTATGCCCCGTGTTCTCTCTTGTTTGGTGTACACGACGTATGTTACATTATTATTGGTGTGCGCGGTCTTGGGTGGGTAACGGGGTTAGGCGTGGGTGCTATGATCGATGGCTGTTAGCGGTAGTTAAAGGTCTGGATGCTGACTCCGTCATGCTTGGAAGCAAAAGAGAAGCCCTAGGTCTACACGAGTAGGTGCGTAACCCATTTGTTCCCGTTCAGGCCGTTCCACCCCTAAGACCAAAGACTGTCGGCATACTCACGACACCGTGCGACGCCATGTAGTCGGCAGGCGAGAAAGGGTTGGGGATCGATTTCGCCCACCACGCTAAGGAACGTTTCCCGGAAGGAATTGTTGGTGCCCGGAAGTGTTGACCAGCGCGGGCGGGGTGGTCTAGGTCGTGTTGCTGGCTGCTTTTTTTAGCCACTGCTGCACGTTCGTCTGCCGCACTCGGAGGGATGCCGACGGGGGGGGGGGAGGGCTGGCACTCGACCTGCTAAGCGCTACTCTCCCTACGTCGCATGGCAAGAGCGGATGATGTCTGTCTAAGATGGGGTCAGATGGCAAGTGATCATGCGTGTTGGGGTTCGGGGCAACTTTATTGGACAAAAGGGGTGAGAGACACTGGTCGCGTCGTGATACGTCTGGATGTTTTTGCTGAGACCATTCTTTTATCGCCCGTCAGGCTCGTTTAGTCTCTGATCCGATCTGCCGGTCTGAGGTGTTGATAATAAATAGCCTGCTCAAGTATCCGAGGGTGGATTGGTTGGCTGCGGTGGTAACATATGCGTGCATGATGCCCATGACCAATTTTGACATGCGCTACTGCCGTGCATTCGTTTCTGGCGGGGGCCCTGCAGACAGGTGGCACTTACGGCAATGGTAGGGCAAGAAGGTACATGGAGCGACCGTTGGTAGGAGGTTCGATAGACAGAAGTGTTGGCGGGAATTGCGTGGTAACATCCCGAACTGATTCGCCCTCTCGCCGTGGACTCGTCGTGGTTGGCGTTGTCGGTGTTGTGAGCACGTGGGGAAGGTGTTTGTGGCCACGGGTAGGATGTCCAGCCTGAGTTGGGTGAGTGCGTGAGTAGTGCGTGCGCGTGTCTCTCGCACTCCTCTCGCGTCTGCCTAGCCTTGCCGCCCAAGCGTGTGTTATGACTCCTCGCGACAGGTGGTACTGAGTGGTGTCTTGCCCAGGGCTGACTGAGAGAGGAGGAGATGGTCTCTACCGTGCCTGTCCTGGGCGGCCCCACAAGGGTCTCTCCTTGACGATTTGTCTGCCATGCGCGAGTACCCGTCTCCACTAACATACCTAGTAAAGGTGTTGACTTCAACCAATGTGCGTATGTATGGCGGGCAAGGTGTTTTAGAATATTAGTGATAACGGTAGCGACGAATTTAGGTGGGCAGCAGCAGCAGTAGCAGCTCTTTTTTTCCCGTACTCTTGGGACTCTTTTTTGTCGGTTCTTGTTTTTTTTTTTTTGGCGACTTTCGACAGCATATACGCACGTGCTATGCTGCCGCATGTAGTCACAGATCACAGACTGACCTTCTTTGTTTCGCTACCCGCGGGTGGTCGTTCGGTCTACTTGGAGGAAAGGAGGAGTCGTTGCGTTAAGGCGCTACTTACGAATTGTTTAGCCCCCGATAGAGTATACTTTGCTTACCATGTACCTGACTGAATGTTTGGCGGCGGGTTTCGTCTGTCTGTGTGGTTGTTAAATGTCGTTCTTCCAACCCGAAGTAGGTGTTCAGCAAGCACGCCACGGGCGCGCGTGCACATCAATTCAGCATATTTCGCGTCTGGCTATCATCAGCGCAGGTTCGGCAGGAGGAGTGAGTGCTGCTCTGCCAGACGACCAACAGTGTGGTGTTTTCGCCCGAATATATGTTGTGCGCGTGGTCTACATACCGTATATGACACAAGATAACACACCCCCTGGACCGATTTTCAAAGCTCGATTACTCCACGACGAAGAGGATGCATAAATGAAACAATACGTTTTCGAACAGCTCTCGACGAGACGGTTCCAACGCCGCCGTTTTCGGCGCTGTGACTCTTCCTGCTGTTGAGAAATCGAGCTTTGAAAATCGGCCAAGGGGGTGTGTTATCTTGTGTCATATACGGTACATACATACCCCCCCAAGAGTGATGCAATACCCACACCGACGTGATGTTCTCGTAGTAGCCTAGTTGCTTCTTCTCGTGCCCGATCTTGAGCGACGTGTCTTACCAATTGGTTAGGTTTGCGTTGGTGCAGTAAGATGGTTTTTTGCCTTGCTTAGGCGAGGACGAGGTATCTACAAGTAGGTTACCAACCAGTGGCAACGAGCGCCCGACGTGGTGTGTTTTTTTTTTCCTGGTTATATCTTTTACATGCAACATCTCATCGTTCGTGCACATACTTCTTTCTGATATTGGCTGTTTGTTGTTTCGTGGGAGTAAATACGGGCAGCTAGGTTGAGGAGAGAGGAGAGCGTTGGAGGCGCGTTCAAGACTTTCGTTTTTGGCTGCAACGCACCTTAAACATTGGCCGAGTACGTAGGTATTCCCTCTTTGTCTCACGCTATGAGCGAGTAACAAGAACAGTGAATGGTAAGATGATACCATTAGCATAAGCATATACTAGAATTATATGTACCACTCGGGTACATATGTATCACTTCGGGGCTGTACCTGCAAACCACCAACGCACAACCGACATGGACGAATGATAATAATCCGCGCAACACAACTTTCTAGCTCTGGTCGTGGTGCGCTTGCTTGTGAGTGCATGATGCCTACTACTGTCGTCGTGGTGAGCGATCGTATTTGGCATAACACACGCCTGGTACCACACAACAATTCCCACACATTTTAGACTATTTTGCGATCGGTCCTTCCTTGCCTGTTACCATGTTGTACGACTGACTGTTAATGTTACTTTCCACTCGTTGTGCATACATCGTACTCCAGGAGTATTGTATACAGAACAAACCAAAGGCCAAGCAACCCGAGATCAGAGCACTCTATGCCAAAAATAAGTAGTAGTAGTGTTGTGAAGCTCAGACGTCCAGGCCACATGCTGCCCGAAAACAAACATCCTCGCCTCACTCCCTCCGCCTCACCAATAACAAATAGAATAAGTAGATGCATGTGCCTGCTTGCCTCGCGAGCTCTTTTTTTCTTTCCACAGAAGAAATGACCGAACAATAGACGACGAGAAAATGATAAACGATTGCTGATGGTGAGTGTTTTCTTCAAGGATTACAGCACAGTGTAGTATTATTAGTAGCAGTTTGTTGTCACGGATCGCGCGTGTTTTGTAACTTCTTACCGTTTAGGCGATCGATACAGACCAAGCGCTAATAGATTGGAGCATGTATCTTGGTCGTGTTTTGTGTTTTACTACTTGGTCGTGTTTTTTTGTGTTT